GTAATGATGTTCTGAAATTTGGCCAATCAAGTGTTCTAATGACTTCGTTTCATCAAATTCCAACTTAAAAGAAAGCTCCAATAAATTTTTATTGTTCAATTAACGCTTATTTTTTTTTTTTACAATTACGATGTAGAATTTCAAAATATAGCTAATTCAGTTTAAAAACTTTATTCAGTTTTCCTTAAACGGTTTTATTTTGTATTCCTTTTTTTTTTCTTTGCCTTAGGATTCTTAAGATTTTGTTTTATATTTAAACTTAATTTGTAACTTTTTGCTTATCTACATAATGTTGTAATATAACGCACTTTCTGTAAAGTACTGAGTAAATACTGTATTGAAATTTTGGTAACTCAAAAAGTATTTTATCAGGTATCAGGTCTTGCATTTATAAGAAAACTTTTATTGATATGTATATTTGTGTATTTTTGATACGGCTTCCTCTGAATAGGAAATATAATGAAAACATCAAATACAATGAATCTTGAATATTATGTAATAATATAATAATAATAATATCAGATTGGATGAATGCATAACTCTTAGGCATGTAAAGAGCTTCTTGTAGTCAATTCGTTCATTGTATCACAAAAGTCGCGCAATATATCAGTATGGTGGATTGACTATCAGAAATTGTAACCTTGCAAATTCAAATTGCAATCGGCTGAGATGTTGACTGAGACGTACATTAAAATTTCATAGAATTGGTTCGTTTTACCAGTTCAAATAGGTAAGAGAATACGTTTCGTGATATTAACCACATAGAGCTACCGATGAGGCCTAAAATTAAAAAAGACGTTTGCTGTCGGGAAAGGAGGGGGCTTGATGGATGGGGTCGTGACCCCCCATTTCCCAGCAATCTGTTTTCCAACGGGAGAGCCGACGGCGAGACGTAGAGTAGCTGTCAGTCAGCGGGGTCTTCAACCTCTGGCTGCCTTTGTTCTCTGTAAGCGGGAGTCATCTTCGTCTTTTGTTGATGGCTCTCGGGGGAGTGCTCATTAATTTACAGCAAAGGCTGGCTATGATAGTGATCGTCTTTCCAGGTCTGTTTGGAAAATCCAGGCTCGCGGCAGGAATGCTTTTTACTTAAGAATTTGTGAATTTATTTTTGATTTTTTTCTGTTTATACCAAGCTATCTTCGTTTTGTGTTACCCGCCGTTTTAGTGTCAAAAAACAATAAAGCAGGTCCCTACACAAGAAGAGAACTACTTTATTTAATTAGCTAAATAAATAATGGATAAAAAATTGATAAATAGAAAAATTGATCAATAAATAAGTAAAAATAGTAAGTTAATAAATAAATAGTGTATGAAAAAAACAATACAATTAGTAGTTGTATATATAGCTCATCCGATGGAACAGTAATGTAACTGCAAATCAAACAATTTTATAGGAGAGGAAAAATAATCACCTTTAAAATTTATTGTTTCAATTTAACATTTTTTTAGCCATTCAAAATTAGCATGTGTTACACCATGATGTCGATTCAATTACCATGTTTTTCTGACAATTATGTGATAAAAAATGTTTAATATATTTTACATTTTTGTTCATCTCTTTCTCGCCTTTTAGGTTATAAGAGATTTTCCCGGACCAGGGATAAATGTCAATTTAAAAGACCCTCTTGGGCACCAGAAAGCGAATTGGCAATTATTTTTATCGTTTATAACTTCGGTTATCAGATGATGTGTGCACACGCGTTAGCCCTCTTGGCCATCCCGCTGCATTCGAACTATTGTATTTTTAATATCTAACATTTCTGGTTCTATATTAATTACTTTTTACTTTCACTTTTCGGTTTTTCGGAGTTTTCAACGGATTTACACGTTTTGAGGTACCCTGTGTCGAAATGACCAAGTCCCGAAAAATGGTCTGTGTATTTGTATGTTAGCAGTTTAGCTCAAAAACGAATAGTCCTATGAAACTGATATTACGTATTTAAGATAGGTATATGCCTTAGTTGTGACAGCGACTTTTTCCTTAAAATCGCCTAACCGGAAGTGCCACTTTATATCAACGCTGAAACACATTTTCACAATTTTCTCAAAAACGGCTCTAACGATTTTGATTAAACTCGGTGTATCATCGTATAATTAAGTGGTCTTTAATATCAATTAAGTCTTATTCCCATTGATGTCACTTTACATGGCTTAAATGCCCAATGTTCATATACGTCTTCCTCTAAAGTACCTTTAATATGGTTTATTTTCTGTAGGGATTACAAACATTGTAGATTCTTTAGCCGCCTTCTCCATTTCTGTCTATCTTGAACCATTTCTTTCCAGTTATCTGCATGCACATTTATATTGCATCTTTGTTGGTTTGATCTATCTGATGTTTTTTGTCCTTACATGTGGTCTCGTACATAGTTTTTCTATATTCATTATTGTGTAGAGGCTTCCAAATGGATTGCTTCAAGCTACATGTTCCGCCCATTTTAACCTCCTTGCTTTCAAATAATGTGATATTGACTGACCAGTTTCTGTTATTTGTCCTTTTCCTTCATACCTTTCTTCTCTGATCTCAGATCGCTCCTGCTATCATGCGGAGGATTTTCCCTAATCTTTCGATACTTCTTTCTAGGGTGCTGTTTAGTATCCAGGTTTCGCAGGCATATACCATAACTGGACTTAACATAGTATTGTTTACCATTAATTAGAGATGAACACGGAAATCTGAAAATTATTTGAATTGCGCTTCTGAAAAATATAACACATAGAAGTTCCTACATAGTAAAACCATAACCAACCCATTCCAACTCCAGAACTAAACACAGCACGCTGTCCATTGTTAATTTAATTGTTTTCATTTATTTATAAACTCTCAACCTGTTCTAAAACATTTGTAAATTCCCTATTTATCATACATGTATTATGCATTATTCATGGCGCTTGTTCGTGAACACCAAGTCCGTCCCTCTCATGATATATATAAATATATAATGTTTGTTGTTGGGGAAAATTATTTACAAAAATAAAATTCCTTTGTTTATCTACACAAAAGCATTTTTAAATTCTTTATGGAATAAAAAAGACTGGGTAAATCTCCGCTTCTATAATAACACTCTAGTGCTTAAGAGGAGAATAAATAATTCATCAGTATTTTCATAATTTCGAAAGAATTAGAATTTATTTTTGTAATTCAATAACATTTATGACGTCGAGCGAAAATGATCACCAGTGTTTGTATAAATATAGATAACATAGCTAAAGATAAAATAAAGAATATTATTCAATTCATGAAAGTCATTGTAATATTTCATGGTCTTTATTTGTGATTACCTGCCAAGATGAACCGTGTGTAAGGGGTTACGATTACATATTTATTATTTCATATAAATGTTATTTTTATTACAGTGATACATTTTCCTCTTGGTCAAAATAAATTAATCAAAATTAACCTTTGAGGTATGATAGAATTATAATAAACGAATAGGAGTAAAAAAACGCTGCGAATTATTGCACAATGGTTTATTATTTCTATTATTTCCAAATATATAACCACAATAAAGAAGAAAAAGTATTTCGAAATCGATGGAAGCTTTTGAATCGTCTAACAGACCACCATTTTGAAACAAAATGATGGATTGGGATTATGAGTTCCTAAGATTATCATGACTTAGGTGTCATACTTGAAAAATAGCCCAATAATCTCCGAGAAAAGTCCCGAATGGCGGACTATTTTATTTTCTTTGTCGGTTGCGTATTCAATTAAGCTATTAACATCCGACTAAAACTTCGTGAATGGCTTCATCTCATCGTGACTAAAAAAATTCACATTTACCAAAATTCTCGAAAATGAGGCGTTTTCAATCAGAAAATGGGCAGGCTTCCTCTATTTAATGAGGTACTAAAAACGCATGAATGCCGATTCGCTTTCCTCTTGAATCGTAAGGTAATTTGATCACAAACTGTAGAAAAAAGGGGGGCCTACAAATATATACGGCCGTTTCGATCTCCACCTCCAGCATGTCAAAACCACGAGGTGATGTAGGCCACGCGGCCCAATATTTATGTAGGCCATCTGCTTTTTCGGTTTTGTGGTCAATTTATCTTACAATTCCAGTGGAACTCAGACGGGTATTCATTAGTTTTTAGTAGCTTATCAAATTAATTTATTAAATGTGACAATGCTCCCATTTTCGTAGATGTAAAAGTTGTAAGTTACGATAAGATAAAATAAAGTTTTAGGTGGATGTTAATAATTTGATAAAAAGAGGTCAGTTGGTTGGTTGATTGTGTAGTAAAGGCGTAGAACCTGTTGGTCATCAACGCCGTTAATTAAAATTATATATTATTATATCTTTTGGTTATAAATATTAAGAATTGGATAAAATTAAAAAATATATAAAATGCACGTTAAGGTTAAAAGATGTTTATTGTTATTAAAGTTTAGTTATTTAAAGTTCGCACGTTAGGTAAAAAAGAAAAAGAAAAAATGGTAAAAGGAAAAAAAGAGGTGGGGAGTGCTGCGTGAGAGGTTCAGATATTTTTTAAGATTCCTTCTTGGGAGAGAAAATATATGATTTTACCTAGGATATTTTCATCATTTCCCAAAGCAGCCGATGTATTTACTGGTATTCCTCTTATATTTAATTGTCGAATGTAAAAGGCACAACTCTGGAAGATATGGACCACTGTCATTCTCTCTCCACACTTCCGACAAATGGGCGGTTTTTCTTTCGTAATTAAGTGAAGGTGCGTCAGAACTATGTACTATATATTCATTAATTAAAATAATGAACCAATATTATATGGTTAAATTATTTTAAATATCTATTATCTGATTTTTGAACTACTTTGTTCAAAAAATTACTATTTATCTTTCTTGATGATTTTATTACGTTACCAAATCACTATTTGAGTCTAACTTTCGTCCAGAATCCTCTAGGAATTTGTAAATGGTCCATAAATCCGCTGAGATGACAGTCCCTGGGATAGCAATGTTATATTTAACTAAGCCAAGGTCAGCTGAAATTTGGAAGTAATCCCGCTATCAGATGAAACGTTATGTAAGGGCTCTGACGAATTCCGCAGCGACGTCCTCCCAACTGCGCCTCTTCTTGGATCCCAGTCACTTCTGTGTCTCGTGCCATCCGGGTCGACGTCACTCCTTATCATCTTCAGGAAATATCAATCAGTTGTATCGATTCATAGGTAGGTCTGTTGAATTAGTTCATCTTACGCTCTCTGCATTACAATAAATATTTAAATAACGTAACATACAGTTTTGTTAACGACCGTATTCTCATAAAGTTTTCTTTTTTTTTTCTACATCATCGGTTCATTGCAACAAGTTATTAAACAGATTTATGATGGATATCAGTTGTGTATCCAGGGTATATATATATATTTTTTATTTAACCTAAGAGCTTTGTTATCTATAATGATTATTACTTTGAAAGGACAAAAAAGAAACTAACTACCTATATGAAAAGATATTTCTTGAAGTCATATTAAATTGATACTTTTACAGATAATTTTTTAATATTTTTTTCTTTAAGAAAGTCGTTTATGTTTTTTACAATATAGAAGTATGTAATATAGAATTAATTACATGAATATAATTAACATATTTCTTGTTTGATTACGTTTTATTCTATTTAATATTTAACAGTAAATTAAGTAATTTATAATACAGAATAGAATTTCATTTGTTAACGGTTTTATAATCTTATACAAATGTTACCTGTATAAATAACTTTGTTTTACCCACATGATTCTAGTTTATCATAACTGTCCATTTACTCGACTTATTAGAGGTTTACAATACAATAAATGTAAAATAATAGTACTTCAATACATTTTATAATTTAATAAATATGTTTCTACAATATCAATGAAGACAAAATAAGATAAATCAACCATGATAAAAATATAAAACAATTAACTGGACTGGTAAATAAGTATCCTGGTGTTTTGGCCATTATAGTTAAAGAAATCCAGTGTATGCTGACATCATAAACCAGAAATCTTGTCAAATTTTACTGTGCTATCGATTTGAAGTATGGCTTGTATTTTGTGTATATGCTGTACATAATGGGTGCTGAGAGAAATGCTCGTAAATATTTATTTCTGTCTTCCATTTGCTTTTCACTGCAGAGGATGTGGAACAGGCTGTTAGAAATGTATTCTTTACAGATAGTTCAGGTTTCCTGGGCTTCGAAGTAGAAAATTTTGTTTTTAGCAAATTATAATATAAAAGATAAATTAATAATAAAATTTTAATGTAATATATTGATACATTTCTATTATATGGCTACCGATTTCAAAAATTAGTAGTAAATGTAAATACAGTAGTTATTATATATATATATATATATATATATATATATATATATATATATATATGAAATAAAACATAATAGAAACTAACGAATACAAAAAATAATGGAATTAAAAAACAAACTTCTAAAATATTAAGTGTTTACTGCCTTTTGTTTATTTTATCTTCAGCAATTTTTTTACAAACACAGTTGTATTTATATGGCTAGAATAGGTTTTACAAACTATGACCTGCATTTTTGAGCAATTTGTGTTATGCAATTTTTTCTATATCAAGCTACCGGCCGTCTATCATGAAATACCGTCATAAAATATTATCATTTTGTTAGTTGCAAAAGTACATATTTTTTTTCTGCCAACTTTAATTTGAAATAATTTTTTTTCTTACCCTCTTTAAAAAAATTTAATCAAGTACTGTATAAATATACAAATGAATTTAAAAAGAAAAAAATACTTACAATAAGTAAATATAGCTCACCATTACTATTGGGAGGAAAACCAATGTGTAAGGAAAAACAAATTTACATTTAATGGTTTAATTTCATGCTTTGGGATTTTTTTTAAGTATGCCTCTCTTTATCGGCTTCCGCCATCAGATATCTTGCAGCCAGGACCATTCCGATTTGGACCACGTGGTGTTCAACAAGCACGAGCATACACCTATGTCCATATGTGCTTAGGGAAATGCATCATTTTAGTTTAGAATGAAAGATATTCCTCACTAATTGAACTGTAGATAGTAATTAAATAAAACATTACATTAATTTTAATTGTTCTAGGGAATTTGATAATACTTATACCTGGCTCTTTTTATATTAATCCTCCGCTATTCTTCAACCTTGAATCACAAAGCACAAGTCATTTTAAAATTGAGGTGTATCAAGGACGATTCGTCCAGGGAAAGAAAGGATACAATTTGATGAAATTGATATGAGATCATTCGGCTACCACCTAACCCACAACATTCCTGAATATTTCATCATAATCCAATTTACGGTTATAAAAGTTAAAGTTAAATAGAATTGATTTCGTATATAAAAAAAAACATGAAACTAAATTCATTATATTCTGACTAAATACATTTATTAACAGCTGGCTTAATGAATCTAAGTTTATTATTATCTAACACAGTCCAGAAACTTTATAATCGAAACAAATTTGATAAGGACGTGTGCTTAAGGATCATTTTTTTGTAGTAATGGGGCTCCTGATTGGAATATTCAAATCAATTCCAACCTAAACGATCAAATTACCTTTACTCTTCGCCGTTAATCTTTGACTTTCTGTTCTGCCTTAAATGATATCGCACTTATCCCTGTTGAACAGAACCGTTACTTAGGACTCTATCTGAACAATCATCTCACTTGGAACCTCATACAAGACTGAAATGGTAAGAAACTGCAAGACGTTTCCAGCTGCTTCAACACTTACTAGAAAAACCCTTTTAAGCATCCAATTAATTACAAAATACTGATTTACTTGATATTGCCTATTTGGACGTACAGAATTCAGGTTTGGGGATTCACTAAATCCATTCCTCTCGTCTCCAATCCTTACAATCCAAAATCTTTCTTAAATCCTCAATGCTCCATACTTTGTCACAAATAAAGTTAATCGTAGTGACTTTAATGTTCCATATGATGCTGTTATCCTTCCATAATAAACTTCAAATATATCAAACCTACTACCTAGTTTCACCTTGCATCCTCTCTGACCCATATTAATCATTAAAAAAAAACTGGCCTCGTAGCCTTCTAATATAGAACTATTATTGGAGTGCTATCAATGCCTAGTTTTTCTACAAGTCTGTCCATGTCATTATATTGCTTCACATTTATTTTTTGTATTTTATTTAATGTTTAGAGCTTTATTTTATTTAATCTTTAGAGCTTTCTGACGAGGACTACGAGGATATTGACAAGTTATGGGTAGAGATCAGGGATAATATTAAAGCGGTATGTAACTCGAGTCTAGGAAAAAAGAAAAATAAGAATATCAAACCGTGGTTTGATGAAGATTGCTTAAACATGTGCGAAAAAAGAAAAGCCGCTAAATTAAAATCTCTAAATAATCCTATCGAAGACAATCTGGAATACTTCCGAACGCCGAATTGCGTGAACTGTATACGGGTAATATAATTGAAGTAATTTCATCGCGGCGAATCAAATGGACTTGTAAAATTGTAGGGCTTAGTAACGAGAGAATTCATAAAAGGTTAATATTTGCTGTACCGAATAGTGAACGTCAGAGGGGTAGACCGAAGCGAAGGTGGGAATATTGCATTAAAGCCGATCTGAAGGGACTGGGTTTGGACGGCGAACGGTTGAGGGAGGTGTGTAATAAGCGATTGGTTGTTTCGGCATCGAACCTTTGGGTTCGCTAAGACTTTTATTATTATTATTATTTCATTTAATAAAGTTGTAAATATCAATACCGGTACTGGTACAGGTGGAAGAGTAAGCTCGGCAAGTGCTAGGCCTTGTGGTCCTTTATGCCATCTTCTGACGGATTCCTTGAGGTTGCCGACACGTACTCATCAGTATGGCAGCGTCGAGTTTCGTTTCCCGGGGGCGCCGAGAAAAGAAAATTAACTGACTAAGCTGGAATTAACGTGGTCGGCCATTACGTCTTCTAAATTTCAAAGTATATATGTATTTTAAAAAAATTGAAATGATCAGACCCTGTAGATACTAACACAATTTTCTTTACTTTAACATATGATTTGCCTAATGGAGAGAATACTCGTAACGGAGAGGAAGAAGCTAGTGAAATGAAGAGTGGAACGGATAGTGGACACGAGATAAGAAGCAGGTGGAATGCCACCACCCCGGTCGCCTGCTGACCTGGAGCTGTTACGTCAATGGGCTGCCCCCGCTGATTCAGTCCTTATCTCGAGCCAGTCTTGCCTCGATATCTGCCGCGCTCTTGTGATCAGTGCTCCCGCTCCGCCTCCATGTTACAGGTCGTTGCGGTCACCGGCAAGGCAGGCTCCGTCATAAGTACGTAACAGCTTCTTTTCCATCTTAACGTTATTAGATAAATCTTTATCATAACGGTTCCTTAATCTCTTAACGATAACACTCTAACTTTGCGGTACATTCCATCTCGACCAGTCTGTTTTTTTTATAGCCGACAACGAACGCTACTTGATTGTCAGTGATTACCGAATATAATATAAATTCATATCTATTATTATTATAAGACCATAAAAGAATATATTGACCAATAGATACACCATTATTCAATAATTATTGTATAAATGTGTTATTTGAACATTTGTGAAGCTATTACTTTTAACTCAATAAAAAAAAAACGCTGCTAATGATTCCACAATGGTTTAATTATTTCCAAACAATTATACATCTAAAGTAACGTTACCTTCCTAGTTACAAAGAAAATAAACAAAGGTGATTCCAATTATTGGATTAAACTTTTTTTTTTAACATTAGTAATATGCCAAAAAAAAAAATAGCATTACTTCAGTAACACATTCAAAATTTAAAAACCAAACAAAGGATGTAACATTTGGAGTAGAACATATTTTAAAAAACCGGAGACCATATCATTGCTGCTGATTGTCTGATTTTTTTTTTTTTTGTTTTTTAGGAAATTTCGTAAACTTTAAAAAAAACACATGCACTATTTACAAAAAAGTGTAAACTTATTGAGTTATTCGGAATTTAATTTTACCATCTTCTTTTCGTTGAAGTATGCTATATAGATAAATTTAAAGGGCGTAGGGAAAATGACAGGCGGACGGACAAAAAAATTTTTATTCGCTTTTCGAATTCTACGCATCCTGAAACGTGAAACCTTAAATTTAGATAGGAGGTTAAGTTTTTGAATTTTTCGGTCGATCACAATGGTTGATTATTAAAAATAATAAATCAATAAATGGTTTTACTCAAATATTCTCCGACTAACGTTACGGTATTTTTTTTTTCTGCTTTTATGTTACGATCCAGAACTGTTAATTACAATTATCAACAGTCAGCAGATGAGTTTGCAAGATTAGATATGCCATACAGATAAAAAAAAAATAACATAAAAGAAGAGGCTTGTTGGGTATGATGATAAGCCGTACACCTTCCGCGGCATCCACTTAATTACATAATTATGTAAGTAGCTCCCTCACCCAGAGCCTTTTCAGTAGTCTGCCATTTGTCTGCCTCATTCTTTTAGCATGAGAGTTGTAGCATTTATTTTATTAGTTGGTTGTAGTGTCATTTCAACATATGGAATCGTTTCTGGGATGCCCATGTGTGTTTATTGACCGTCAGAACGTGTAAGTCGGCATGACTTTGAGGAATATTCTACAAATGGACTAGTACCAATTTTGTCAATTAATCCACTTGTTTAGAATATAATCGCTGTGATATGAGGTTGGCAGTTAGCATATGACAATTGGAGATTATATCAGTTTTTAAACTTGATGTGATTTATTATGCGTGATTTTATTGGATTTTCTGTTCAGTTTTAAATAAAATTATAGTAGAGGTTTTAGTTTATTTTATTATTTTTTTTTAGATGTGTATCCTCTGTCTATCTAACGGCGGACCAACCACCATTTTACAAATTATACAACTATTCATTTAATTGTACTGCTCCTCGCTCTGATCGTACAACTGTAATTTACATGGATTCTCTAGTTCTAATTGAATTATTTTTCAACATAAAATAAATGTAACGAAACCACCACGGTTCAGACCAACTTTTAATTTCTTTAATATGAGTTGAATCCATATTATATATCGATCCATATATATATATATATATATATATATATATATATATATATATATATATATATATATATATATATATATATATATATATATATTGTCAATTTATGTTATTGTAATTATTCTTATTGCCAATTTGTAACTATAATATTGTAAAATAAAATATTACACAGTCACTAAATTTTTTTTATATAATATAGAAATGTACTCATGCCTTTCGGCTAGTCGGGTTTTGGTGATTTTGAAAATGTGCATGCCATCTGTATTGTTTAATATATGAAGAATACATTATACAAAAAAATAACCATGTTATATTTATAGTATAACCATATTAACATAAACCAGTAATATATTTTACAAAAAAATAAAGACAATTGTTAAGATTTTTTTCACTGTATGTTTTCCTTAGAGAACATATCTGCCAAGTGAGATAGAACGGAAAGATAAATTATCTTTTAATATTTGTGACCATTATATTCCTTACAAATAATATTTTTTTTAAAATACACACTATAAAATACTAAATTGAAGTATACAATTATCGATTGGTAATGTTTTAAAACTGTATCCTGTGAATCAACGAATTATTTACGGCATTAAATTCAAACGCATCTGTTGTTTATTCATTTTATTTTTATTTTGTTTTGCATTCCTTTCCCAAATTCCTGATTCGATTTATACATCAGTATAGAAGCAATTTAAATAGAGTGTTTATTCAATTTTTAGCAAAATTGATTGACATTCATTATTTTCACTGAATCACCATGGTCACAAAACTCAAATTAATATAATGATTATAACCAACAACGTATCAATATAGTTTTTATTTTTATTATTTATATTAACTCTATGATACAACAAATTATACGCTTTCGGAAACAATCTTAATCTCTCGACAATGTTTGGACACTTTCGGTGTATACGTTAGTTGACCCTTCTGATCAACCATTTCTTTTGTTATTTATCAAATTCTTTCTTAGTTCACATTTATTACTTATTATTTATTTACTCATATTTATTACCGCGTTGTATTACTAATAACATCCAGAGATCTTTTATCCTTTATAATAAACAAGTTAAAACTAATTAGAGAAAGACATTTTTAAGAAATTCGGAAATTAAGCCCCGTCACACTATGTACTATCAATGAAGATAATACTTAACTTATATTAGAAACCAATGGATTTTTAATTAATATTATTATTATATGCCATTAGGGAGGTAATGCGAACCGAGAAAGGGTTGGATCTGGGCGATACAACATCCGTGCTGGGCTATGCTGATGATCTGGTACTGTTAAGCGAAGACGTTGAAACTATAAAACTAATTACGACAACGTTAATGAAAGCCGGGAAAGAACTAGGGCTCGAAATAAACGTGGATAAAACAAAATATATGGTTAGCTGCAAAAATGGCGATACTACTGGTTGATATCGATATAGATGGTAATATATTTGAACAGGTAGATAAGTTTAGGTATCTAGGTTCTACGATAACTAGAAAAAACGGAATTGAAGAAGAAATTAAGGTTAGACTGAAGGCGGGAAATGCTTGTTATTTTTCTGTGACAAAACTACTTAGTTCGCGCCTCTTGTCCCGGAACTACGGAACTTAAAAATTAGAATCTATAAAACAATTATCTTGCCTACAGTTCTTTATGGATGGAAAACTTGGCCGCTTACATTAAGGGATGAGCAGCGTCTTAAGGTTTTTGAAAATCAAGTATTGCGTAGAATATTCGGACCGAAGAAGGATGAGTTAACCGGAGAGTTCAGACGGTTACACAACGCCGAATTGCGTGAGCTGTATCCGGGTAATATAATTGATGTAATTTCATCGCGGCGAATCAAATGGGCTTGTAAAGTTGTTGGGCTTAGTAATGAGAGAATTCCTAAAAGGTTAATATTTGCTGTGCCGAATGGTAAGCGTCCGAGAGGTAGACCGAAGCGAAGGTGGGAAGATTGCATTAAAGCCGATCTGAAGGGACTGGGTTTGGACGGCGAACGGTGGAGGGAGATGTGTAACAAGCGATTGGTGGTGTCGGCATCGAACCTTCGGGTTCGCTAAGCCTTATTATTATTATTATTATTATATTAATAAATAATAAGAAGTCTACGAATTCGAGAAAAATGGTGGCCTTAAAAAATATTGAGCCGTTTAACCTATATAACCTCGTTATTTTGAATATTTGGGGTTGTAGGTTTTTCCAAACGGCTCAATATTTTTGAAGTACGCCTTTTTTTATCGACTTAGTGCTCAAGTTATCTTACGATTAAAGTGGAAAACAAATTGGTATTTACGAGTTCTTAGTACGAAATTCGGCCCCATATGCCCCAATTCCGATAATTTTCATAAATAAAATATTTGTAGATTACGATGAGACGAAGCTTTTTACGAAGTTTCAGCCGGATATTGATAATTTGGTAAAAATGTGTCTGTACCACGAACTATAAGGGCTAAAATGACCTGTAAGTGGTTTAGAAGCTCGCTTTGTTTCAAATAAATAAAATAAAGTTTCTTTATTATCAATTTTTTTAATAATAATAAGATTCCTAAACAATAAATAAAATATTTTGGGTTTTTATTTGTATCAATAATATAAACTATATAATTCTTTCTTTTTAATTACGTTGAAAAAATGATTAGAATTAACAAATAATCAGTAGGAATTTTATAAAGATTTAAATGGTTTTGAGAGAAATTACAAGACCCTTTATATATGCCTATTTGTTAATAACATGTTGGGCTATATAATGCCAGCAAAGCAATATGCCATCATGATCTATCGTCTTCTTGATTGTATCTTCCCTAATCCGCCGGTTGGAAATTGTGTTCATAAATTACTGATGCCATCTAGGGGTGTCACATCAACAGAAAATCGAAAAAGACGTATATGTCTATTAATTGTATATATTATAATGCATATTATATAAAATAAGGGTAAATTTATGACTTTTTTCACCATTAAATTGGTAACTCATTTTTGTTTTCATAAGTATACATATTATATAAAAAATTGGGATGTAATACTGCTAATTTATTGCTGGTTAATTAAAGGGAATTAACAAATTGTTTGAACCCATTTATATCCTAAAAAACATAACAAACAAAAAAAGACTGTTATTTGATTACATCAATATATATTTATTTTCAAACATTTCTGTTACGCCTCTTATAGATATACCTGTCTAAAAATTATCTGTAAAAATTATTTGTCAATATCATCCAGACAAATAAATATAGAAGGAAATTTTTAG